TAAATATTAAAATTAAAATTATAAATATACAAATTATTCTCTATTCCTGAGTTCTTTTGTAGCAGTAGGAGGCTGAAGATCCTGAGTGTTTATATTATCCTCGTCATAAATATTCATCATAAATCTATCCATGGGATCCCGAGTGCCTCCATTAGAAAAAATTAGATGGCTTCCACTACTAGAACCTTCATGTTGTGATCCATAGTAAGAAGAGTTTCCTATCATTTCTTGTGCCACTAGTCATGCTAATAATTTATAGAAATAAATAATCAACATCAAATTAATGATATATACAATATTTTTATTTATTCACATGCAAAGAAATCACAACACAAAATCAACAATATGACATATTTTAACAATTATTTGTTCTACCAGTAATAAGACAACATGAATACAACAATATACCAATCTGCCGGGGGTCCAAGGGGGCGCTACCCCGGAACAAAATTTATTGTAAGAGTAATTTTGAAATTCTGCTTGTTTTTAAGTTCGTAAGTTGTTTGTATGGAAAGATACCGTGCGGTACCGAGCATGTACCGCTCGGCATATACTGCTAGGTATCGCTAGGTACTACTAGGTATCGTTAGGTACATGCTCGGTACTACTAGGTATCGCTAGGTGCATGCTCGGTACCAAGCATATACTGCTCGGTACCGAGCATGGACCTAGCGATACCTAGCAGTACCGAGCATGTACCGAGCGGATGAATGAAAGAAATCCGAATCATGAGTTATTCAAGCTTTCGTTACTGCACGTCAAAGTCAAGGCCCAACACTGCTCACCTATACTCTTCTGACCTAACCGAGGCCTGAACGTTTCCTGCACTCACAACTTCGGCTTCGTTTCCTGCTTTCGAAACCATTATTTCTTTTGGCTTCGTTTCCTTCGTCGTCTCCTTCCGACTTCGTCTCCTTCGCTCACGGCTTCGTCTCCTTCCCTCACCGCTTCGTCTCTTTCCCTCACAGCTTCGCCTCTAGTTCGCCTTTCAATTCTCACAGGAAGCCCTAATCCTATAAGCGAACACGAATCAGTTGCATCGTATTTACATATATACTGAATAAAACATTTCGAGGCGGTGCCTCGTACTGCCTCGAGGCGTTACACTCTGATGCGTACGCCTCGTGCGAAAAAATCGTAGGCTTCGCTGGATGGTTCGAGGCGTAAGCCCCGATACGCATGACTTCCATCTCGACTTGAGGCGCGACTCAATGCGGACGCCTTGTCCGCTTTTTTAATGGTTGAAATTCTGATGTAGTTTTTAACAAAAATTTTCTTACAAATCAAACTTAATTAAAGCTTCTTTTGGGACAGCTTTCTTTGTGCTTTCTAAAACAGCTTTCTATTATAATTTTTTTTTTTAAAAGCAACTTTCTAGTACAAAATTTTCTAGTTCTAAAAATTTTTGTACTAGAAAGCTGTTTTAGATAGCATTAAGTTGTCCCAAACGAAGCCTAAGTTTTGTTTTTCGTTCTTAAACATAGAAAGAAAATTTTGGTGAAAGGTAAATTGCGTCAATATTTTAGACAACTTGTTAATGATGATTGGTTTAAAAAATGTGAAATTCAGCTTTGTATTTATCTAGACGAATTTTAAAGTGCATTAATCATACATGCAAATATTTAACTTGTTTAGTTTGGGTCGCCTTCTATGTGACATGTTAATGTATCAAAAATATGAAATTACCAGAGATGAGTTTTGGAAATTGAAAACTTGCTGTTGTGCTGAAACATAGATTGGAAATTTGTTATTGCCATAATCTAACGGTGTTGAGTCCAAATTTTGTAGTTTTAGGTTATATCCTAGAGGATTCCAAGAAGTAATTGATTTTGAATATTTTGAGTTATAAATGGGGCCCTATAAACATGTAAAATTTATAATTAAATAAAATTTATTAAATCTTGTGTGTTTTTGAATTTGGATTCATTAAGCATCAGTGTTATTAAAGATGTTAGGGCCCTCCAACGCAACATGCCGGATAATGCTTGAGGAACTAACTGTTAGCTCTTGTGTTTGTTTGAGTGATGTGAGGCACCAATAAATTTCACCTATTTTAATTATGATGAATACTTTTTGGGTGTACAAAATAATCTCCATCATAATTTAATCTTAAAATGTAATAGGTATAAAAAGTTTCCAAGATTCGTCATTCCTCATGCGAAGTGACTACCTTGATAATTAGATTGTTTAACAAAATGTCCACAAGCTTTAGAAGTTATATTTTAAGTTTAAATAAACAAATTAATCTTTTAAGTTTCTAGCTTTCATAGTGTAAGGTTAATCTAATCTTCCTTATTATTTATTTCATCTTTCGATCATGCAAACTCTCTTCCCTATCATTAGATTTGTAATCTTCTATCTCATAATATGGTTGTGTTTGCTTTAAAAAATAATAAAACTTTGCATTCCTGAGACATGCACTCTAGCTCCTTATACCTCGACACTTTCCTATTCAATGGCTTTGTGACGAAATCTACTTGGGAGGTGGGTGAGGTGCTAGAACCTTGCCTTGCCTCACTAGGGCTCCCAAGTGAGCTTCTAACTCGCCTTTGATAATATTATTGAGTGCTTTACAAGTCTTGAGGATGACTTTTGTGGGATGCTTCTTATTATACTGACATGAATGTTTAACTTCCAATTGGCGATTTCTATCTTTATTCTTTCATCCAAACTAATATATGATTAATTTGTGTGCGTAATATTAAAAATGGCTTTTTTTAATAGATTTTGTTAAAACCGGGATTTGAGAGGGAAAAGCTTGAATTTTATTAAGCAATCTACTCCCTATTTATAGATCTATACAAGGTATATCAATAAGGAAACAAATAACTCTTATAATAACATGAATACAATTATTCCTAAATCAATGGGATGAATTAATGCAATCCATGTAGTCTTCCCACGGATTACTGTTCACAGCCATGGATATCTTTGGGATCGTAAGGTTGAGATTTAACAGATTTAAATGAAAATTTAACTCTCAATAGGACATAATAGAAAAAAATGATTCATGTAGCCGACCCCACATATTGGGATAAAAGCTTGTTGTTGTTATTGTTGTGAGTAATTTAGAACTTATCAAGTTCAGTACATACCTTTTTCATTTTTAGTGAGGTGAACCTTAATTGATTTGGAATTTGATATTTGTTCTTAGATTTCTTATGAAAATTTTGATTTTGACAGCTTTTATGTTATTGTTTGGAATGAATGAAAGTATGATTTTTTATTTGAAATCAAAATAAACTAATTTTTCCCCAATTAAAAGTTGAAAATTTTAGAATTGTCTTTTATTGTGCATTTCTTTTTGCATCTTAGCCTATGTTAGTATTATTGAATCCTGATCTTAAGATATCTTACATCAATCTTTCTTTTAGAAAACTATAAGAATTTTGTGATTACCCAAGTATGCATTATCTATTATTCATATTCTTAATTTGCAATGAAATTTTTAAAAGAACTATTAACTTAAATAATTATATTTATATATATATAATCTAAAGTGGGGGATAAGTTAAGGCCCATCTACATTAAAAAGATTTCCTTAGATTGCTAGCCAAATTATTAATATATTCGATCTAATTGTTTATCATTTATGATTTACCATCAATTAATTTTTGTAGTATTCTCATTTCCCATCTTTTTTATCTAATTTCACCTTTGATACGTTGTCCGTAAATTTTTTAGATAACCATACTAATCTTATACTTGTTTTATTTATGATGAAAATTGTATCTACTATTGATAGCGTGGATGCCAAAATTACCTAAGGAAACTGAAAGAGAAATCTATATGTGGTGATTCATGAAGCTCAATAGTTGCTTTTTGATTTTGTAGAGAAATATTCGTCATAATTGATTTTTTAGAGTTGAGGAGAATTGGTGCAGTATGTCTAGGATGACCGATGAATATCTTTATGTAAAGCTCAATTGTTCTTCTTAGGTTTTGTAGAGAATATTGGCTTAATAATTCGTTAAAGTTGAATTTTTTTTAGAGGTGAGGAGAAATGTTGTTTCAGGATTCCCTTGGACTCCTATTATTGAGGCCATTCCAACAAGATGTTTTTTGCAGCTTCTAATAGTTGTGTTTCTAAAAGCTCTTTCATGACTGTAGTGGAACTATAGATGGTCTTATTGTGCATTTCTCACAGCCTTTCATTTAGGACTAATGGGAATTTGGCTTATTGTGCCACTTTAGCTTAGTTTCAACTGTAGGTGTTAACATATACTTTATTTGGCTTTTAGGGGCGAATGAGCTGCATTTCTTGCTATTTTATAGTTTCTTCTTTGGCAGTGCTGCTTATTGTATTTATGGTTTAAATAGTTATTCCAAGGATGAAAGCAACTTTTTGTTTGAATGAAGTTTGCTTTTGGATTGTGCAAATCTTTATTTTTCCGATGTTGTAATTCTTAGTCAAGTCTGATATTTGGAGTATTTGGGACAGGTAGTTTCTATATTCAAGTGTAAGGTATACCCATATGTTAGATATTTCTTTTTGTTCATATCTTTTTTTTTTTATCTTTAATTGTTTTATTCTTATTGTTTGAAAATGAGATTGCTTTTTGTTAGATTTACAATTTGTTTCTTTTCTATGCATGAAATTTTAGTCACTTGTTGCCTTTTGTGAATTTAAATTTTCTATTTGTTAATTTATATTAGAATTCCAAAATTTTCTCACCTAATTTGGATTTCTAGTATTTTTGGTTTTCATTATAAGTATTACATAATTGATTTAGTGTTAATGGTTTTGCTTCCTGTTAAAGTTGCATGTTTGTTGCATCAATTAATCACATCAAAATTTGTATTGCATACTTGATGTGCATTATAAATCCTGGAGCATCCTATACCACTCTACTGTAATCATTCATATGGTGACCCACTCCTCCAATAGAAGTCACAATTACTCAACTTCAATATTTGAATGTCCTTCTGCTGAAGTTTACTATCACCTACATTACATACTAGGGCTTAATTCTCAATTTGAATTGTGCTTACAATTTCAGGGAAATGGGTGTATATTTCTTGTGTTAGAATTCTGTGCTGGAGGAGATTTAGCTGCTTACATTAAGCAACATGGAAGACTACATGAACCTATTGTCAGAAAGTTTATGATACAGCTTGGTATTGCCCATCTTCAGTTTTCCAATAATGAATTTTTTGTTATTATGTAGCCCTCAAGTCAAAAAATTGTTATAACATTGGATCAATTTATCTTTATGATAGGATCTGGATTGAGTGTTTTGCATTCTAATCATATCATCCATAGGGACTTAAAACCTGAGGTACAAAAAAAAAATTACTGCTAAATTCTCAACTTAAATAATATTTTCTTACATGATTTTGCATTGAACATATGGCTTTTCAGAATATACTTCTTTCTACTCCTACAAGTGATGCGGTTCTCAAGATTGCAGATTTTGGCTTATCTAGGTATGAAAAAAGTGCTAAATATTTGGTTTAGTGTCATCATTAGTTTTACATGCCATATTCATTTGTTGGTCAGAGTTGTACACCCTGGTGAATTTGCTGATGCTGTTTGTGGTTCTCCATTATACATGGCTCCTGAGGTCATGCAATTTCAGAAGTATGATAATAAGGTAATTACTGTGGTTTATTATTCTATTTGACTGATTTATGTGCAATGTAATATTACATGGACGGCTATATATATTGTTCTGCGAATGAATTTCTAACAAATTTCACCCTCAGGTGGACATGTGGAGTGTTGGAGCTATTTTGTTTGAGCTTTTAAATGGATACCCTCCTTTTCGTGGTAAAAATAACGTTCAGGTAATTCATATATTTTACTGCATTGAATCATAATCATTTTCTTTCTTTCATTATAAATATGCTGCTTGTGAGCCAACTTGAACTCGTAGAACTAAGCATGAGCTCGAGTTCAAATTCTATTAATTAATCAAGTTCAAACTCTCTACTCGTTTACACCACTATTTATGAGGATCCTCTTGATAATTTTCAGCTTCTGAAGAGCATACGAGATAGCACATCATTACCTTTCTCGGAGTTCATTCTTCCCAGCCTTCATTCTGATTCGATTGATATATGCAGGCGGCTTCTATGCAAGAATCCAGGTTCATATAGTACCTAACCAATTAGTAAATTCCAATCAATACATGTCCTACTTATGCTTATGAAAGTTTTTAATATTACAGTATCCCGCTTGTCCTTTGATGAATTCTTTAAGCACAACTTTTTCAAATGATGGAGAAAAATGTTCGAAAGTTGTTCAGATGGGAAAGTAACCAATCGTGCATATTACCTTTAGTTCTATTATATAGATTTCAGTGTTTGTCGACAATTAGATGAACACTATGTGATTATGATCTGTTCATAAGCACATTCCTTCTTTATTAATAAAATTCCTTTTCATTGTACTGTAGGTATTATTTCTTCTTCTTCTTTTTTTTTTTTGTTAGGTCTTTACTTTTAATATTTCATAACAGGAACCAAATATTTGTAAGTAAAACACGTAAAGAAGTCTAAGAATACTTCCAAGTATACTTCTCTTATTACATCAATATATGTAAAATTTGAAAACAAAAACAGATATCATAATACCACTTATTCTGTAAAGTCCAGATTACACGAAAGCGAGCTATTCCTCTACCAAGTTTTAATAGCCTTGCCTATAATTCTATTACACGCTTAAGTAAAGCAATTGTATGATGATTTATCATTAGTGCTATAAAATTTTATAACAGGGCATAAGTGAAAAATTGAACGACTACAAACGTTAGAAGACGTGTATCAATGATTTATGATATGCCTTGTTATGCCAGATATTTGCTTGAATGTATAAATCATTGTTGTCCTCCACAGTAGATTTTTTTTTTTAAATAAAAAAAAATATATCCATGTCTGCCAGAATCTTGCTGAAATCCTTCTCGTACCCTACCGTCGCAATAGTCCTGTCCTAAAGTCTGCAAACGGCATTGAATCCAGTCGCCCATCCATCCTGTGTGTGACTTCCTCTAGTTTCACACTCCTATTCACGCTATTAAGATGAGGATGAAGCCTCCCTTCGCTCGTTTCTTCTTCCACGTATGAGCAATCAGCCTTAGCCATCCTCCTCTCATGTTCGCAAGCAGCTCCCACTTCCGGTCTCTAAATCCCTATAGCCCTCACGACCTCCGGTCCCAGCCCTTGCCTCCTTTCCAATCCTGCTCGAGACCGAACCCCAACTCCCCGCGCATCTCCTCCTCTTCACACCCAATCGTCCGCACCATGCTGATATTGAACCCTTGCTCCGGCTTATACAAGCCTCATGACATCCACGACCTCAGTCCTTTACTCGTCTAATCTTTCTGATCGAGCTTTCCTCACACAAATCCAGCCCTACTACAGAAGTCGAACCCTACTAGTGCCAACATCCAGACATCCCAATTCCTTCCTCATGCCGACAGCTCCTTGCCCAATCTCCACAAACCCCTCTCACTCGAAGATTTGATTCCACTCTAACTGATCGAACCCTATACGCCTTCGACTCAACCCCCCAAGCCGAACAGGTCCTCCCAGTTCCGATCAAGATGTCAACCTCCACTCCAGTTGAAGTCCATCAGCCTCATCTTGCTGCAGTGCCCCCTGCAATCAAACCCATTTTCCACATCTCCACACATCTAAAGCCCAACTCAATAAGCCCAAATCAATTCAGCACTTGCACCCTAACAACCTAAATATCTATTAACAGGTATACAAAAAAAATCGTCTAAAACTTTTGCCCCTCATGCTCTATTGATGATATTGAGTAATGGTTAGTTTATTTATTTTGTATAGTAATAATGATCATTATTATTAATGTTATTAATGATAGCTATTATTATTATTAGTAATAATTAGTATCATTAATTATGAAAATAATTATTATCATTACTTATATTTAAAAAAAGAGAAAAAATAGACAAAAATATAAACAAGAAAAGATATATAAAAAAGGAGAGAAAGATTTGCACTTCATCACCGCCTTGATACTCATGCCATCAACAACATCGTCGTCATCGCGTAGGAATAACTTTTAAAACTTGAAAACCCCGCTTTCAATGTTTCCAGCGAGTTGGATGACCCCCCCCCCCTGTTTCCAACGAGTTTGATGACCCCCCCCCCCCCCTATACGCATTCTCATAGCACGATAGGAGAAAGTCTGACGTGACGCTTACAACAAAACGGGTAGGCCTTGTACATGCTCTCGTAGCATGGCGGGAGAACTTATAAGTATCCTTAAGCGCTCTTGTAGCACAGTGGGGAAAGAAAATTGTGTGTTTTCAAACAGGTGCCTCAAATACCCTTAAGCACTCTCATAGCGTGGCGGGGATTGAAAAAATATGGCCATAGTGTCGACCGACACCTACCTAAAGAACTCTTGTAACATGGAGGGAAAGGCCCGACTTTTGGATATCCCCTAAATGGGGGAGACACCGAAAGGATTTCAAAAATTTGTTGAACAGAGGATCTAATTTGAACAAAAAATGAATCACTACAGACTTGTATGAACAACAGAGAAGTTGAACTATGTCGCATATAATCAGGCACTCGATTAATGAATGCACACTCACATTAAAATACAAAAGCTAATTAATGGCCCTAATATGTAAATAAAAAAAAATTAAAGAACTTGCACGTGCCAGTCACTCACAGATGATAACAAAAATTCATGGAATTGATTGACTTGAGATAATTGTGATGACTACAAGGATATATGAAGAATACAATAAAATATTTATAGTCAATATCAATATACAAACAAGCAAGTGGAACCCTGCAAATGATGATGATTGAAAAATATATGCAGTTTGATTGTGAGCATATGTCGATGAGCAAATTTACCATACAAGCTACGAGCTACTTCCAAGGGCAATGAGAGAATTATGATATTCTCCATTACTCACACACAAGTAACATTTTTGCGAAGTCAGCGTGAATGAATGTAATAGCGTCTCTCTCATCAGAAATGATTCAACTTCAAGAAAATGCATCAGTAAAGGAGAACAGTGCATAGTGAACATAACCAATCGATGATCAAGATTTTTTAAACAAGTTTTAAACAAATATAATTTGCAAGTAACCAATATCATTTAACCTCTGTTCATAAGCACATCACTCCTTTATTAATAAAATTCCTTTTCATTGTACTGTAGGTATTATTTCTTCTTTTTTTTTTTTTGTTAGGTCTTTACTTTTAATATTTCATAACGGGAACCAAATATTTGTAAGTAAAACACGTAAAGAAGTCTAAGAATACTTCCAAGTATACTCTCTTATTACATCAATATATGTAAAATTTGAAAACCAAAAACAGATATCATAATTCCACTTATTCTGTTCAGTCCAGATTACACGAAAGCGATCTATTCCTCTACCAAGTTTTAATAGCCTTGCCTATAATTCTATTACACTCTTAAGTAAAGCAATTGTATGATGATTTATCATTAGTGCTATAAAATTTTATAACAGGACATAAGTGAAAAATTGAACGACTACAAACGTTAGAAGACGTGTATCAATGATTTATGATATGCCTTGTTATGCCAGTTTTTTGCTTGAATGTATAAATCATTGTTGTCCTCCACAGTAGATTTTTTTTTTTTTTAATAAAAAAAATATATCCATGTCTGCCAGAATCTTGCTGAAATCCTTCTCGTGCCCTGCCGTTGCTATAGTCCCGTTCTAAAGTCTGCAAACGGCGTTGAATCTAGTCGCCCATCCACCTCGTGTGTGACTTCCTCTAGTTTCACACTCCTATTCATGCTATTAAGATGAGGATGAAGCCTCCCTTCGCTCCTTTCTTCTTCCATGCATGAGCAATCAGCCTCAACCAGCCTCTCATGTTCGCAAGCAGCTCCCACTTCCGATCTCTAAATCCCTATAGCCCTCACGGCCTCCGGTCCCAGCCTTGCCTCCTCCTTTCCAATCCTGCTCGAGACCGAACCCCAGCTTCCCGCACATCTCCACCTCTTCACATCCAACCGTCCGCACTATGCCGAAATCGAACCCTTGCTCCGACTTTTGCAAGCCTCATGGCATCCACGACCTCATTTCTTTACTCATCTAATCTTTCTGATCGAGCTTTCCTCTCACAAAGCCAGCCCTACTACAGAAGTCGAACCCTACTAGTACCAACCTCCAGACATCCCAATTCCTTCCTCATGCCCCCGACGAAAAATTAATACGTCCTCCCAGAACTAAAATCGCACTAAAAAACGAGAAATATCGAGCAATACCAAACAATAACGAGGAATATCATCATGTGAAGATCAATACCGAGTTATACTGAGCTATACCGAGCAATACAAAAAAATACCTAGTTTTTCCTAGAAAAACTCGGTATTTTTTTGTATTGCTCGGTATTGCTAGGTATAGCTCGGTATAACTCGGTATTGGTCTTCACATGATGATATTCCTTGTTATTATCAAATAATACCTAGCAATACCGAGCAAAAATCGAGTTTTTTGGCGGTGGGAGGGCGTATCTCTACGTCAGATGGGAGGACGCAATAATTTTTCCATGCCGACAGATCCTTGCCCTAAATCTCCACAAACCCCTCTCACTCGAAGATTTGATTCCACTCTAACCGATCGAAACCTATACGCCTTCGACGCAACCCCCCAAGCCGAACACGTCCTCCCAGTTCCGATCAAGATGTCAACCTCCACACCAGTTGAAGTCCATCAGCCTCATCTAGCCGCATTGACCCCTGCAATCAAACCCAATTTGCACATCTCCACAGATCTAAAGCCCACTCAATAAGCCCAAATCAATTCAGCACTTACACCCTAACAACCTAAATAGTCTATTAACAGGTATACAGAAAAATAGTCTAAAACTTTTGGCCCTCATGCTCTATTGATGATATTGATTAATGGTTATTGTTATTTATTTTGTATAGTAATAATGATCATTATTATTAATGCTATTAATGATAGTTATTATTATTGCTAGTAATAATTAGTATCATTAATTATGAAAATAATTATTATCATTACTTATATTTAAAAAAAGAGAAAAAATAGAGAAAAATATAAGAAAGAAAAGATATATAAAAAAGGAGAGAAAGATTTGTGAAGTTTGTGCACTTCATCACTGCCTTGATCCTCATGCCATCAACAACATCATCGTCATTGCGTAGGAATAACTTCTAAAACTTGAAAACCCCGCTTTCGATGTTTCCAGTGAGTTGGAGGAACCCCCTATACGCATTCTCGTAGCGTGGCGGGAGAACTTATAAGTATTCTTAAGCGCTCTCGTAGCACAGTGGGGAAAGAAAATTGTGTGTTTTCAAACAGGTAACTCAAATATTCTTAAGCACTCTCATAGCGTGGTGGGGATTAAAAAAATATGGTCATGGTGTCGACCGACACCTACCTAAAGAACTCTCATAACATGGA